TATGTCTGCCGTGCCAAAGAAGCATGTCATTTTTTTTGCTAGAAACTGGTCAAAAGAGATGTATGCCAAGTGTTCTGAGACCTGGGCTTTGGGCAGAGTACTCACTAAATGCTTCTGGCAGCTTCTTCTAATCTTCTGGGTCCCGGGGTTGGGTCACGTGGTATAACTCAGCTGATCGGATACTTGGGGTCCTCAGCAGCATTGATTGGCCATTTGGTGTATAGATCTGACCAGCTGTATGCAGCTATACGCCTGTGGGGCATTTCCTTGTTCAGAGGATGTCTAATGCCAGCTCCCCAGATTTCCGGGGGATTCCAGTTTGGGTGGGTGTATAAAGTAGAACAATTCTTTTAGAAAGTTCTTTAGCAATACAGGGCAGACATCTTCTTACATGACTGGTTAAGAACATCGGTTCTTGCATTAGAGAGACGTGTTTGAAGTTCAGCTCTGCTAATAACTAGCTGTGTGACCAAGGGCAGTGACAACTTCTTGGAGTCTCAGTTAGTTCTATAAAATAGAGCTCATAATACCTGGCTCCCAAGATTTCCTGCAAGGACTAAATGAAATGGTATATGTAAAGTGCTTAGCACATGGTTCACAGCTAAAGGTAGTTGTTAATTCCATTTCTTATAATGATATAAAATGAGAGAAAGCTTGGAGGATTAGATATTTATCCTGGCATTTATCATATGAATGAAAACCTGGAAACAATCTAAAGATCTAATATAGGGCACAGGGTCAGGCAGACTCATTAGTCCCACTCATTAGGAGACAAGGTGTGTAGTCAAACAAGCTCAGCTGGGCAGGTGTCATGCCCAGTCCCCATCAGACCCATTGCTACCTGCAAGCGCCTTGACCTAGGACTCAGAGGACAGCCTGCATCTGGGTTGTGAAGATTAACCAGCTGGCAAATGCATAAAATAATCTCCCTCCATATTCTCAGCCACTGGCTGCCACCTCCTAGTAGGGAACAAATGGCAGCCTGCCTGGTAGAAGGAGGCACCTGGGGGTCAGCATGGTCACCCCAGCCTTGCCTTAGTCCTGAGGSGGCAGGCAGTTCTGATCGAAGTGTTGTATTTCCAAGCTGGCTCTTGGCTCTAAGCATCAAGTTGAATGGGAAATTCCCTGGAATATGGAAAAGCTAAAAGGGAAAAATTTGGGGCCTGGAAGCAGGTCGGTTCCAGCAGGAAACCACCTAGGCCCACCCTTAACAGGCGGGGACCTGTGAGCCTCCCTCACCACCACGGCAGCCACTTTCTCACTAGTCAGAGTGGCACACAGGCATAATTAGGTTGTGAACAAAAACCCTGGCTGGTGGTGAAGAAAGGATGTATCTTATTCTGGCCCGGAGACCTTAGACAAGTTTTGGAAAGTTTCTCCCTGAGCCTCAGTTTCTCTATCTGCTAAGTGGGAAAGCCACCACCTGCCTTTTGTAATCTTGAGGATGTTTAGTAAATGTTAGGTCTTCCTCCTTCCCCAGGTAGAAACACTCAGGTGCCCGTGGACACTGCTGTGTGGAAGAAGGAGGGCTGAGGGGCTCCAGGGAAGCCAAGGGGAGGTGTGGTGAGGTGGGTGAGTCATCTTAGGACATGAAGCTATCCCTTTGGAGGAAAACCAGACTACAAATGGAAAAGCCAAGAGGGAATAACTTGGGGCCTGGAAGCCTGTCCCAATGAGGGCAGCAGAGTACAACAGAGAATGAAACAGACCAGGACCCTGAATCCTGGCCCTGCCACCTTCTAACAGGGGAACCCTGGGAACACTGTCAAATGCATTTTCTGAGCCCGAGCTCCCACTCTGTGGAAGGGGAAATGGCCAGCCTCAGAGAGCCTAGGACTTTGAGGGACTCCAGGGCACTTTGTGCTGACTGGCATCTAACCCAGACCTCTCCTGCCAGTTGAGAACACCCCATCCGCCATGCTCTGAATAATAATAGAAGCTAATATTTCTTGAAGGAAAAGATTAACTACATGTTAATCAGCTAAAGGTAACTGAAAAACAGAGGGAATGTTTCCCCAGAAATCTTTTGGAAGTATCCTTCCAAATGCTAATAAATGGCCTCATGGGGCTCAGAAGGGCTCAGAAACCTATTCTTGATTCAGAAAGAACATTTTTAAAAAATATTTTTTTAGTTGTAGCTGGACACAATATCTTTATTCATTTTTATGTGGTGCTGAGGATTGAACCCAGTGCCTCACACATGTGAGGTGGGCGCTCTACCACTGAGCTATAGCCCCAGTACCAGAAAGAACTTTTGATGGAGGAAAATATCATTTTGGGCAAATGCAGGTCAACAGAAGAGTCACCATGTGAACTCCCAGTTAAGGCCTCCTTTTAAAAGTGCTATGCAGCCTGCATGTAGCATATTGTCAGAGATATTTTTTGAATGAATGGACACACGAATGCATAGATGGAGTGGCCAGAGAGCTGCAGGACACTGTCTGCTGAGTGTCATCGGATCCCAGGATGCTCAGTGGCTGCAGGGGATGCTGTTGTTCTTAATCAGCTCTGTCTTGCTGTCTGAAAAGTTAATTACTGGATGTGGATGTGCCATTGGAAGGGAGGGTTGGGGCAAGAAGTTGGGAGGACTGAATCTCCCCCCTCAGCTTCAAAGATCCCACATCCTCTTGTGCCGCCCCAATTCTCTAAGTTTCTGAGGTGCTTTGATATTCCCAGTGGAGATGAAGACCCAGCATACAAGAAAACCCAGGCCAGATGAAAGGCCAGGCCCCAAGTCCATGTACCCCACACAGAACCAGCCCTGACGAACGCCCATTAGGCTCTGGCTCCTGCCTGCCAGCTTGTCTTCTTGTCTCTCTCCACACAATGCCGACAGATTGGAGGAGTTGGTTTCCTTCCCCCCAGAACAATATTTTATGAGGAGTCTGTTTTATTAAAATATTTTCCGCTGGATGCTTCCTGTGTTTCAAGAAGTTGGTCTTGCCAGCTGGAGCTGATGACAGTTGAGAAAAACACATCCAAGTGCTGTTGTGACATGGCATTTGGAAGTGGAGGAGCACTATGGGGGGGTGGCAGCATGGAAGAGATGCAGGAAAACACCCGGGTGGCACCAGAAATGTCACTGGCAGTATGAGAGCACAGCCTCCCCTTCTCGTTAAGAAAATGTGAAAAGAAACCCTTGCAATGATGTCCCCCAATGTACTGCTCTACCTCCTTATAGGCCCAAACTGCCATGTGGCATGGTCAYAGAAGTCCTGTCATTTGTCTTGTATCACTGTTAGTTTGCCAGTCCCCAAGTCAGCTCCCACTGGTTCATTTCAACCCCAGATACTTCCCAAGAAGAAATCCAATATGGGGCACATTGTGAAAGGAAACGAAAATCAATTTGGACACAGCRCAGGTGATATTGAGGGAAACGGCATCAATGCTGGCTCTGTGGTGCACGCTAGAGTCATCTCTTCTCACTGGGTTTGGGAGAGCAACAGCATAAATAAATGTGGTTGGGAAGTCCAACCTGTAACCGGGTAGGAAAATATCATTTTGGGCAAATGCAGGGAACTGGTCACAAAATGGGTGATGCTTTTCCACAGATGTGGAGTGTGGTTGGTCTGGGATGTTTTATGCAACATAAGGATAGCCTGGGTTACACTATCCACAGGCCCATAACCTGTGTCCCAACACAGTGTCTAAAACATTTAGTTTGGTTTTTAAGAGATGACTTTAAGGATAAGTAGTTAGTTTCATCCCTCTCAGAAATCTTTAGGGCCTGAGGAACTCTAGAGCTATGCAGCATTCTCTCCACGAGGGGGCAATCACAGCCCACAGCCAGAGCCAGACTCCACATTCCCACCAGCCTATTGTGCAGAGGATAAGTTAAATCTACACCCAACTTTGAGAGACCTCTCCCGGAAATTTCACACAACCAAGCATCTACATACATGCATGTGTGCATGCACATGCACACACACACACATATACACTCTCTCATCCCTGAGCTCTGGCTATCCAGGTAGGTTGGTTTTATAAAGACATGGGAGTCTCAAGTGGTATCTGATTATAAACCCAGGGAATTCTGGGAAAGGAAGTGCCCCGTAACCTGGTTTAGGCCACAGCTTGACATTTCAGAATTGTTTTTTTCTTTTGGTTTCAAATAGGGCCAGGACCTGGCATCTCCCTAACTTCTTTCCCTGAGAATTTTTCTGCAAGCAGACCAGACAGGAGGATCATTCCCCTTCTCACTCAAAGGCCTAAATTTTCTGATTTCTCCAATCCCAGGTCAAGATGAGATCATGCTCTTCCTAAAGACACTGCAGGAAGCTGGTGTAGAGCCGCTAAGGTGGTTGGGCAAAGCCCATGGGTTGTGAACCCTGTGGACAAAGGGAAGCAACATCTTCTCTAGAAAGCTCTGGAGTCAGGTTATCTGGAGCTTCTGGCTTTGACCTAATTTAGGTAACTCAGCCTCTGGCCGTGGCTTGTATCCTGCCTCACTTGTTCACCAGGTAACCCAAGCCAGCCTTGGGTTGTGGTCTGAAGGGAGGTGGTGAGGAAAAGCCATGACATCTTAATACTGTGGCCCAGGGGAGCAAAGGGGCCTGGTGAGGTGGAGCAGCAAGTGAGGAAGACTTGCAAACAAATTTGAGCCACAGAGATCTTCAGCACCACCATGTCTGAGGGCATGGCCTTGTTAAACAGTTGGCCTTGCCACCTAGGTTGTTGAACTTTACCTGTGGACCTGACATCTTCTGCGTATAATTCTAGACCTTCTTTGGAGCTTAGTGCCCTTTGGGTCTCACTCACCCAGCCCAGGTGCTTGGTTCCCTGGCCTTTGGGGTCTCTCACTGATCCAACTGAAAGCAGCAGAAGGAACCAACTGAAGCTAACACTAAAGGCCCAGCCCTGCTTCTCATAGACCTCTTGGAGAAACAACTGCTTGGAGCACCAGCGAAGCCTCTCAGAGGCCAGGGTGGCACTCTTGGGCACCCAAAGCACTGCTCTAACTGGGTTCTTGCAGACAGGAGTAGGAAAGCCATGGTACTTACTGCTCAGGGCTTGAGACAGATGTCCGCCGGCCTTCCACGGCAATGTTGCTCTTTGGTCTCTTGACAACATGTGGACGGGGTGGGCGCACCTAGGAGGGGCACAGGAAAAGCCCAAGAAGAAATAAGTTGGGAAAGCCACACAGGGACATTCTGAAGATTTGTGTAGGTATTTTTAAGGTACAGGCTATAAAAGTCCCACAGTGTCAAGTRCAGCAGATAGATTCATTTGGAAAGGTTCTCCTTATCTACAAGACGGGAACAGTTCCACTAGCCTCCTTGCAGGGCTGCAGTGAGGGTACATCAATGAGATGATGTACATAAGGGACCCAGCAATGAGGCCCTCATCCTTGATAAATCTCTTGCCCTCCTGTTACCCGGAAACCAGTGTGTAAGCAGAGATGTTTCATCAGACTTGTTTCTGGGGAATACATGTGTATTTTGTTCATTTTACAACTAAATTACAGGATGCTTCTTTTCTTCTCTCTATGGGAGAGACAATTAAAGACATCCTTTTGCTTCCCAGGGCACCCCTGTACCAGCCCTCCAGTGGGGCTCAGCTGAGGTATGGCCACCCTCACAGCACAGATCTGACCCAAGGGTGATGGGGGTGTACTGGGGAGTGGACAGATTCTCAAGCCTATAGGTTCCACTGAAGTGACAAGCTAGGGTATCCTGACCTGCCATCTCTGAAAGCCAAGATGAGCATCCATGGATAAAGATGCTYCTCTCAAAAACAAACAAACAAGGATGCTTCTTTCCCCCACCAGAGCGTGTGGTAGGGGTCAGGCTGAGAGTTTGTAGGTTTTCTCAAAAKAAGACTCATTTAGTCCAATAAACTTTACATGGCTATACATTTGGAACCACCATCTCTGACCATTTCCAATGTCAGAGAGAAAGGGAGAGAACCAAGCTAAGAAAGTGAATTTCACTACCAATAAAGCCAAGTACTGTGGCTGGGCAGGGGGCTTGCTTTCCCTGTAGACACGATGCCACAAGTGCCAAATTCCACTGACAACAGAGAAGGAGAATTTGTGCACACTCCTCTTCCTGCTTGCCCTTTTACCTGAACAYCCCTACTCTCAACAATTTGTGGGTGACACAGAACAATGGCTAAGGAACAAGATTACAGAAGTTAGCTGCATACAAGATGAATCTTAATAGAGTCTCATCAAGCCCTCACATCTGTGCATGTATCATCTAACGAAAGTTTTTCCTGCGAGATGGTCAATCTGATCTCAGCTTTGTTTGGCAAATCAGAGATGTGGTAAAAACCAAATGTGTTCCACCAAACATGCTCTGTTTCCTTCCGCGGGGCTGCTGTGAAGACTCAAGAATGGGGGAGAGTGCAGGCTCCATAAATGCTAGTCCTGCTTCGCTGTGACCTCTATATTCCCTTCTTATCAATAACAAAAGAAATAAGGAGAGGTGCCTCTGAATTAGAGGATGAAATTTAGGATTATCTTTCCTTCCTAGCATCCTGCATAGTGCTTGGAATGCAGTGGAAGCTCAATGAGATTTTTAGAAACACATGAAGGTTGGCGCTTCGAATCTAAGAGGCACATAATACTGTCACTATTATTGTTATCAGAATAGTGCCTGTAGATGTTCAGTCAACATGTGCTGAATAAATGAATGGGTATACCCACCCTGCATTCTAACTCTGAGCTGGTTTCCCTGGCCAGACTCCCCTGGCAGCTTTAAACAGGGTTCCTGGCTGGAAGAATGCCCCAGACCTCCCCTGACAAAGGCAGGACTGCAGCTGGGGTGGAGGAGCTGCTCTGCCCCTTCCCTGGGGGTCCTGGGGCACCGGGTTCAGGAAAGGTCAGACATTAAGGCCTGTCGGCGCATCCTGCACAGGGCTGCTCCTTGCTATAATAAAGGCGGGTTAAGAATGTGAACTTGTGGCTGAAATGGGGGGATTAAGTTTGTGGCAACTTCAACTGAACTTGCAACGTGGTGAAACATGGGGAAAAAGAACAACAGAGCTAATTAGACGAGCTGAGCTGTCAGAGTGCTGCTGAATGGCTCAGCGCCAACAAACAAAAGGAATGGGTTGGCAATCAGCAGGATCGATGGAGGAGACTGCTTCATTAGGGATGATAAAACAGACGGGGGTGGGGGAGGGAGAGAAAGACACAACGGACCAGAGACAGTCACCCTGGTGGTTACAACCCAACCGGAGCCACACACACACCTAACTGGTGTGGACAAAGCCACACACAAAATTATCCTCACACCCACCCAGATACACAGAAGCTTCAGGACTCCAACATAAACACAATCTCATAGACACACACCGAGGCATGCACAAGGGGTGAAGGCCCACAGAGGAATCAAGTGCGCGCGCACACGCATGCACACACACACACACACACACACACACACACACACGCAGCGGCCGACCACGACCAGGCAAGGAAACACACAGACAAAATGGTTTAATTAAGCCTGAATCACAAGACGATGCAGACAACTCCCGTCATATTTCAGCAACTGCATACCTCTTCTTGGAGTGCTTAGGAAGGGTGGGGGCTGGGAAAGAGGAGAAAACCACACGCACACACTAGCACACACTACAGGGCGGCCCCACTACTGCCGGGATCCCAGCGGAGCCAGGGGAGAAAATGCTAAACAGGGATTTCCAGCATGGTTCAAGGGGGACTGGAGGGGAAAGTTGGGAAGCTCGCCAAATTCCCCACTGGATTTAAAACCTGAGAAATCTAAGTCGGCAGGGTTAAATGTGTATTGAATACAAAAGCACCAAGTATATTTGATTTTAATGGTGAGCAAGAAATAATAAATACAGAGCTTATAAAGTGCTTTGCATGTGGGCCGACCATAGCCTGTCTCTGCCCGGAGAGCGAGGCCACTGCCCTTGGTCCACTAGCTACATGCACCATTTTTTTTTCCTGCTCTTTGTTTTTTCTTCTTTTTAAGAAGCAACCCATATCCTGTGGTCACAGCTGAACTCCAGCTACAGGTGGTGGGCCACAAAGCACCTGCCAGAAATTTCGGATGAGGGCTAGCCCCCCATGTTCCCACCACCCGGGCCAGCAGCTGCACTTCTGCTGGGGATGTTTACAACTAAGCGATACTACAAAGCCTGGCTGCGGCCAATGGCTCCCAACTTGGGGGTTTCAAGCCACCTTCTTCAAGGCCCTTGAAGTGTTCCATACTCCAGGTCTCCCCAGTTCCCACCTACTGGGTAATGGTGTCCTCTGGAAATTTGCACAAATGCATTGAGGGTGAACAGTTCCCACAACCTGGAATCTTGGAGCCCAGAAAGCATGGACCTTATCTATGACTCTCAGTGGCCTTGGTAGGCATTAAGTTTTTTTTTTTTTTTCCTTTATTTTATTTATTTTTATGTGGTGCAGAGGATCGAATCCAGGGTCTCACACATGCTAAGCGAGCACTCTACTGCTGAGCTACAACCCCAGCCTCTAGGCATTAAGTTTTTGGGGATGGATATGCCACTTGATGCAGGCAATGTGTTAGGAACCCTTAGTATATGACCTCATAACCCTCACCACGTGGGCATGATAAACTCACTTTATAGATCATCCAACCAAAGCTTCGAGCAGGTAGGGTCTTGTCTAAGGTCACACAGTCAGGAAGTAGCCATGCTGTGCTTCAAGTGAGGGTGGGCCTCTCTGACTTCTAGGGGGAGCTGCTCCCCCTAGGCCCCTGCTTCCTGAGCATACCAGGACCCAGGGCAGGGATGGCCTGAGTGCCAGGCTTGGTGCCTCTCTCAGTAAGCCAGGGGCAGAGGTAGTTGCCACTCAGGCTTCTCTATTCTCTAAGACCTCAGTTACCAGTAGAGATGGCCAGGCACCCCATTATCTGGGCAAGTCTCCATACTGGTGAGATGACACAGAGTCCATGACAGCTGTCTCCAATGTTTGAGTTTTTCCAGAGGCAGCACTTCTGCCCTGAGTCATACTGATTCTCTGCCTGCCTTGGAGCCGAGGCCTCTAGGGATTCTGAGAGCCACCCATGGCTGACTTTGGCTTCAGGGGAGGCTGTCAAGAGGGGAACAGAAGAGGCCAGTCTGGCTTCAAATGCCAGTATGGCCTCTTATCATCTCTGTGGTCTTGGCTACAAATTGGGGAAATGGCATGTGCCTCCTGTGGGCTGTAATAAGGACAGACGAGACACAAAAAATGCAAATGCCTAGCGTAGTTCTAGGCACAATAAAGGGCACCCTATCAAGGTAAGTTCCCCTCACCTCTGTATCGGCCAGGACATAACGCTGCCCTAAGATCCCACAGGAAGCCCAGCTAGTTATTGATTTTCTTTTTTCTTAGTTGAAAGCCCTGCCTCTGTACTTTATAGTTAAGTCCATTTTGGTTACTGTGGATATGGAGGTTCTAGTGAGTTTGGGATGCTGAAAAGATCATGGGTTCTAGGGCTTGGTGACCCTTGCAAAGGACTTAGTTAGGTTGTTTAGCATCTGTTTTCTAATCTCTAAAATGGGTGGTGACAACACCTACTTCACAGAGTTACTATGAGGCTCAACCAGGATGAGGTACCTAAAAATGATTTGCTGGCTGTAAAATCCTGGACTTTTCAAAACTAGGTCATTCCTGGTCCAGTGTGGTGGGGCACACCTGTCTCCCAGGAGTCTGAGACAGGAGRATCATAGGTTCCAGGTCAGCCTGGGCAACTCAGTGAGACCCAGGCACAAAATAAAAAATAAAAAGGGCTGTGGATGTAGCTCAATGGTAGAGTACCCCTGGATTCAATCCCTATAAACCCTTCCTCCCAAAAAAAGAAGTTGTAGGATGTACCATTCTGTGCCAGGCCCTGTGCAGGATGCTCTACAAATGTTATCCACATTCATTCTCACAGAGAACTTTTATGAATAAGGGCCTCTTACAGAGAGAAGTGAGGCTCAGAGACCTTCAGTTCTTGCCCAAAGCCACACAGCTTCAGCATCCCAGCCTGATTATGCTACAGTCCAAATGTATGTTGTTAATGACTGTACTGAAATGCTCAGTAAATTGCACAGGTTTGTTCCAGAAGGGGCTTCCTGTCCCTGATAGTGGGTCTTCTTGTTGCTTGTGGTTTTTTTTTCCAATGACAATTAACAGAAACATYCTAGCCCCTTGGCAGAAGTGCTGATCGGGGTTTGGCCTAATCATGGTTTGATGGGGGCACAAGATGGATCCATCATCCTTCATGGCCAGAACTGTAGACTCACGACTATTATATATAAAGATGTCTAAATTCCATTCCTCCACCCCACCCACTAACTCCCACACACACTGAGGAAAGGGAGGAAACAGCACCAGAGAACATCTCCTACCCACCCAGAAAGCCACTACTCAGTGAATGCTGGGTGTGCACGCCAAGAATTCTAAAAAGACGAATGGTTCAGCCTGGTCATCTGTACGACCTGGCCTCTGTGCCCTCAGAGGATGGATCTAGACATGTGCATTGAAAGGGTGGGAGGGGCTGGGCCCCCAGTTCGTGGCATACTTTAATTGCAACCAACCCCTTGTGCCTGGCCATGGAGTGGGGGCTGCCTGGACAACAGCCTGGGAAACTCTTCCCATGGTAAACTCTTCCCACCAAATGGTCCTGACAGCTTTCCACCTTATGGCACCTGTTAGCTATGGTGTTGCAGTGCGGACAAAGCCTGAAACTATAAGGGAAAACAACCCAGTGTGTTCAACACGTGACCCACACTATATATCATCTCATGACATTTTTCTTTAACACACGCAGATGGGCCTCTCTCCCCTCCTGCCTGTTCCCAGGTATTGGTGGGCTTGTCACGCTTTGTCTTGCTCTTCCCCACTTACTCGGCACTTGTCATGGGAAGGCAGCTCTCCATGAGGCCTGGCAGGGGAGCAGTACCTATCTCCGAGCGTGCTCCATTCTCTGGCTGTAGCCTCCTCCCCAGGGGAGGGACATCAGATGCTGGCACAAATGAGACCCCTGCTGCTAGACTTTTGGCTTCCTTTGTGAGGAAGAAGCATCTGGAGCAGGGTTTAAAGCTCATTGGCTAGAAACAGGCCTTGCCCTGTGCCATTTGCTCAAATGATGCACACAGCACCCCGCTACCTATAGCTCCGACCTGGAAGTCGCTGAACTGATTCAGGAAAAGGAGAGAGAAGCCCAGAAAATGCGAGTTCAGATTCATGCCACACAGCAAAGGAAGCTGAAAAAACCCGATTCCCGGTTTCCTTTTGCCAGGCAGGAGAGTCCGCACTCCCGGTTTAGTCAGGCGGGGAGGCTCAGGCAGTGTTAGGTGGGGAGGGCACAACACCGGCTACTCACGGGCCTYGAGCGCTGTATCTTGGGAGGCGGTGGTCGAGTGGGATGGAGTCTTTGTGGCTGTATTAAAGTGGAAACTTAAAACATCAGTACACACCGAGATAGGCTGACGCACTTTACACAYGACCTGGGGAAAGTGTCCAGTCACTTGAGACAGAGCTAGAGGGCCATCACGATGCCTCTTGCCCCTCACCCCCACTGTCTATTTTCTGAAGCTATCTCCTCTGCTGACTCTTTAGTTCTGGACTTGTCTCTGCTCTGGATTACTGTGGTCATCTTCTAACAGGGCCCCTTGCTCTGATTTCCAGTTTAGGTTGTGGTGGTGGTGGGGACCTTCTAAACTGCCATATGATCATGTCACACCCAGTTTCAAAACCTCAGTGCCTCTCCTGTACTTGAATGACAGCTCAAGGCCCTGGGCCAGCAAGACTTGCTGCTATGCTCTATATCATAGAACTTCCCCAACCTTTACCTGCCCACCCTAAGTAGACCCTCAAGTAGTACTGGGCTCTCATGCCTCCTTCCAGCCTGCCCCTTGGGTGTGACAACCTACCCTGTCCTGATTGGTCTGGTGAACACAAACTTGTCTTTCAAGACTCTGCCTCGGGCTGAGGATGTGGCTTTAGCGGTAGCATGCTCACTTGGCATGCATGGGGCGCTGGGTTTGATCCTCAGCACCACATAAAAATTAAATAAAGATGTTGTGTCCACCGAAAACTAAAAAAAAAAATAATAATAATAATTAAAAAATTTTCTCTCTCTCTCAAAAAAAAAAAAAAAAAAAAAAAAAGACTCTGCCTGGACCAGGTCGTATCTCCAGGACTCCCACTGCCCTGTGCTTCCTGCTATTTGGGACTTACTGTGAAGGTTCTCACCCCCTACATTCACACTCTTTTTTAAACATAGGGATTTGTCCCTGTGCCTGTAGGAGGTTGTATGAGATGTGGGGAAGAAATACTTGCTCAATAATTGCTTGATGGATAAACACAATTTGCATAAAATGCTTGGCTTTTAAAATCAGGATCTGAATCAAAAGTAATAGAGCCAGGCGTGGTGGCACACACCTGTAATCCCAGTGGCTAAGGAGGCTGAGGCGAGGATTGAGAGTTCAAAGCCAGCCTCAGCAATGGTGAGGCGCTAAGCAACTCAGTGAGACCCTGTCTCTAAATAAAATGCAAAATAAGGCTGTGGATGTGGCTCAGTGTTTGAGTGCCCCTAAATTCAATCCCCAATACCACACACACACAMAAAAAAAGCAAAGCAAAGCAACAGAACACAGACTTCTCGACCCTCAAATCTTTTCATCTTGAAAGCCACACTTTTCAAAAGCCCCTCCCATGATGGATGTGGGAAATGGGTAGGCAGAGTAAGGACAGTAAAAATCTACACAAGGCCAAGACCAGAGACCACCCTCSTCCTCGGCAAACCCTGCTGGTTTCTAGTTGGTCCCTGTCCAGTCCCTCAATCCTCAAAGATGCATCATTTGACAGTGACTAGGCCTGCACGAGCCAACACAGGGGCCATGACCCTGTGTGGTGAGTATGAATGAAATGTGCTGTAAGTGTGCAATACATTGTACTAGATTCCACAGACTTAGTGTGAGAAAACATCAAATTTTTCAATAATTTTTTTTATGGCTGAGTGTGGGGGCACACACCTGTAATCCCAGTGACTTTGGAGGCTGAGGCAGGAGAATCATGAGTTTACGGCCAGCCTCAGCAAGACCCTATCTCAAAATAAAAATCAGAAAAGCCTGGGGAAGYAGCTTGGTGGCAAAGCACTCAAAACACCCTGGGTTTTGTCTTTAGTATTCCCCTCCTCAATACTGATTGCATGTTGAAATGATCATATTTTGAATACACTTGGCTAAATGTATTATTAAAACCAATCTGACCTGTTTCTTTTTCTTTATTTATATATATATATATATGGTGTAGATGGACACGATGCCTTTGTTTTATTTATTTATTTTTATGTGGTCCTGAGGATCAAACCCAGTGCCTCACACATGCCTCGAGCGCTCTACCACTGAGCCACAATCCCAGTCCCTCTTTTTACCTAAACATCTTTACTAAAACCTTCATTTTCTTTTTTTGAGAGAGAGAGAGAGAGAGAGAGAGAGAGAGAGAATTTTTAATATTTATTTTTTAGTTTTCGGCGGACACAACATCTTTGTTTGTATGTGGTGCTGAGGATCGATACCCATGCTGCATGCATGCCAGGCGAGCGCGCTACCACTTGAGCCACATCCCCAGCCCCGGAATTCATTTTCTGAATTCAACTCCTAGGAGGGCCCATGTCACAGGTGTACCTGGATCCTTGATGTCTAGCACAGGGCCTGCCAGAGTAGCCCCAGAGAAAAGTTGGTGGAGGGACTTGATGGAGGATTGGGATCTCTCATAGCACATGGGGAGTGTGTCTGGATGGAAATACACTGTGGCTTCCCAGTCTGCCATTAGTTGGGAGTGAGGCCCAACCTGGCCCTTTCTTTAGTTGGTGGGTAGGGGATGCTTCCAGACAGATGGGCACAGCTGCCATGTTTCTTTCTCTCCACGGCTTTACAGGTAAAGTGTGGGGCAGAAGGGGACAGGACCCCCAGGTCACTTTGCTCAGAAGGAAGAGGACAGGGATAGAGGAGCTCATCCTTCCACACATGTACAAGATGCCGCCCCCAGGCCAGACTGTCCCCTGCTTCTCTTAGACTTGGCCAGTATGCTTCTGGGTAACTATCTTTTCCAATCCCACTGTTACAATGCTTGACACCTCTGGCCTGGGGTACTTTCATCCCTGCTGAGTGACAGTGTAATAGAGCACTCAGGAGGTAGCCTTTGAGGTCAGGCAGTCTCGGATGGAACCCCAGCTGCCTCACCTATTCTGAGTTACCCTGTGCCCATGATTTGACCACACTGGGCCTTACTGTGATAATCTATGAAGTGCAGGTAAATGGTGGGTGATGGCACCCACCCACTGTTAGAAAGGTTCATTGAGACGATGCAGGTCAGGTTCTTGCAAGGTGCCACCACTAGACTTTAGCAACTGTCACCATTAGCAGGTTTCCTCCCCTCTCCAATGTATCTTCTACACCTGTTTCCAGAGTGAACTTAAAGAAAAAATATGCCCAATCATGCCACTTGCCAGCTTAAGTCACCTTAGTGGAGGGCCACATCTTCCAAGTTGTCTGTTAAGAAACACTGTCCCAGGAGCCATACCGTGTGAAGGGACAATGGGGCTTCCCCAGCCAGACAGGCCTGGGAGGTGCTTTCTGCTGTCTGACTCCTTTTGGAGAGTTATAATGCCTGTTAGCACAGCATGGCTGCCAATTCTTAAAATTGAAAAAAAAAAACAAACCAAACAAAACAACAAAACCCCATTCAAGCCAGGCAAAAACCTTTTAAAAAGTCCTGTATCACAAATTTATTTGAACAGACTATAATGCCCACTAATATCTCCTGGAAAATGAGGCCTGTGTATTCAAAGCCCTACCCACCTACCTCTACAATCTGACATTTGACCTTCCCCACCAATGCACAGCGCACAGATTGTCACTATCGGTTCCTTCACTTCTCTACTCAAGCCAGAGTCTAGAATAGTTCTCAGTACAGCACAGGGGCTCAGCAAACGACTTTTGCTTAAACTTTCTGCAGAAACTCAACAAATGTTACTTTTTTCAGATTTGGTAAGTAACTTATTTCCTGTGATTGTCTGCGGGAAGTGCTGGTTCTTTTGCAATGGAACTTAYAAATGGCAACAGGACAGCAGCTTCTTGGCTATGAGCAGCCTAGGAGCTGATGGAGTAAGCTGGGGGGTTACTGACGCCGTGAAGGGTAATGTGGTAAGATGTCCTGGTGCAACTGGATAGATAAAAAACAAACCTAACAAAAGCAATCAAGACAGGAAGCCATTCTGGCTCTATCTGATGTCTGGGGGTTTTTCCTTACAGGCCATCAGCACTGAGGGATCTAGTCACCAGGGTAACAGGGAAAAGGAGATATGTTCACTAATACAAATTCTCTGATGCTGGACGTGGATGCCATCCCAGGGTGGCCACTAGGGGGAGAAAGGTGAACTCCTAGTGTGGGGGGTGTGCATTAAAGACCCCCAAATTGAGGGAAGGAAGGGGATGGCTGCAGTAATTATGAGGGCACCCTGTCATGGGGTGTGTGGRTCCTGGGCACCAATGTTGAGGCTGGGGACAAGTAGGCATTTGGAGGATGAGCAGGAATTAGGCCATGAAAGGGGGGGGGGACAGCTTTAGGTTTGAAAGCTAGAATGTGTGCTTTGTGGAGAGTCCCCTTGCTCCCATCAGAGGCCAGGCTTCAGGCTTAGTTTGTTTCTGGGTGACTTTGGCAAATCCCAGGCCTCACAGTCTTCATCTGTGAGCACCATCACAAGGGCCCCACTGTAGGGATGCTGGATATTAGGGTACTTCACAGAGAGTCAGTGGACATGGGGACAGGAGGAAGCCTCTGCCTCCTGGCAGTGAGGGAGTGACAGAGCTGCCTGGCCATGGTGGCTGCAATTTCCTAAATATGCTGGGGTAGATGCCAGTTGGGGACAAAGACAGTGGTGAGAGGAGAGCTGAGAACTCTGGGGAGAATGAGGACAGGCCATGGCAGGGAGTGGTGGTAAGCTGGATGGGAAATGGGAAGAGAAGCCAGGGAAGACCAACTCAGAAAAATACCCTTTTCTAGAAAATAGCCCCAGCACTCAGGAAGCTGCACGCAGGACAAAGTGAATGCAGGCACTGCAGAGTGGGCTGGGACTCTGTGATGTCATCATCACCAGGTAGGCACCCCCCACATACACACTGCAGCTCCATAGAATACTCTGTACATTTACAGACTATGGCCCACAGCTGGYCCCCCTGCTTCTTCATCTACTTGGCCCCAGTGGCAGAGAGCCTGTTCTTYCTGGTAATGATCCACATAGCACTAGGAACAGAGCAGAGCTCAGGCTTCTTAGAATCTATGCTCTCTCCATCACTGGGGAAGGCAAATCCAGAACAACTTTAATGCAGGAACAGGGCAGTAGAGGTCTGATGCCTTTGCCTAGAAATCGTA